GGCATTCCTCCCGAACTCCACAAATCCCCATTCTCTGCGTCCTTTTTGAAACACTTCCAACTCCCCCACTAGTTGCATGAACACTTCGTTTTCAATAGTGTGAGAACCGTGCACCCACCTCAGACCCGCGTCTTCGTAATGAGGGTGGTTCACAACCGGCCGAAGCGCGGAGAGCTTGACGCTGGCCATCGTGGGCATGGCGCCCGCAAACACCGCGTCTGCAAAGCAAGAAGACCTGACTCAGGGGGACGCGTGGCCAGCACGCAAGGGCTCTTCTTCCCGTCACCTGGTCACCGCCCAGGGAGGCCCGGGGCCTGCGTGACCCGAAGAGCCAGCGGCAGAACCAGGGAGGAGTCTGAGAGCTGACGCACAGCGCTCAGCCTCCGAGCCCAGCCAGCTGCTGTCCCTGGAAGGTCCGGCTGTGTCGCTTCGCCACCGAGAATCTCTGGGGCTTTTGGTTTTAATATCTTAGAAATCGTGCCTGATTCTAGGAAAGAAGAGGCAAAATGACTAAAAAAGTTTTACAGCACCCAGGAATTCTGGAGGAAAATTTAATATTCAGTCATTTATACTCGAATGACGACAAAATCTCCGTTTCTGAACATGAATAAATTTAAGATTCCATGAGTTCATTTCAAGAGGGTATCTGAAGGATTAATATTAAAAATTCATTAATAAGCATAAAAATTATTTTAAATTGTGGCATGTAAAACTTTGAAAAAAATTAAAATTTATGGAAAATAACGAAATTAATTACCAAGAAGCTATGTATGACATTTACTTCTCAAACCACTTAAAAAAGACTGACATTTCTCTTTTTTCTGGATAATCTAGATGCAACATTGATTAGAAAGAGTAAGACCACTGAATGTTACTTGGGTTTAGGATTTTGTGGTGGTAAATAAAATTTGGGAAAAAAAACATCAGCTAAATAAGACTTTCCTTTACCTGGTTTAGTACTATATTTGATCCATTCTATAAGTTCTTCTTGTGGCAAATTGCTGAATTCCCCTACAATATTCCACTGGGTTTGTAGATTTGCTGAACCTTGTACTGACATTGCTGCTAATACGGCAAAAACAACAGCACCAGGATGTACTTTGCAAAAGAGCCATCCAAACAGCTGAAACCACATCAAAGAGACATTGATAACTGTTAATACAAAGAGCACGTATGTGATAATCAAACAGTTCTTCCAGAGGAGAACACAGTCTCTGCTAGAGTCCCAGATAAAGGATTAATCACACAAAGGAAAAGTTCTAGAAACAATGACTCTAGGAATGAAAGAATTCTACGCTCAGCCTTATATAAGTGAGGCATGATTTAAGAAGCTCTTTTCTACACTTGCTCTCTCTGCTCCCAGATTCAAGTGAGGCCAGGTCTACCTAACCTACATGATTTGCCAGGCCCAGTGCAAAGTGAAAATGTGGGACCCCTTGTTTGAAAATTATTAAGAAGTTCAGAACAGCAACAGCAGAGCGACAAACTAGGTACAGGGTCCTTCTCAGTGTGGGCGCCTGTGCGTGCAGAGGTCCCACCTGTGAGGCCAACCAGGGTCACCTATCGCCATCAGACATGCTGCAGGCAGGATTTCAGAGAAGCGCCAACCAGGCTCCCTTCCTGTCCGGGCCTGGATGAGCCAGGAACAGCGGCCTCACCCCGGATCCGCCTCTGGAGGCAGTGTCTCTCTAAGGTGACACTCTGCCGGAACCTGAAGGCTGGCTAACTTCTTCCACATTCAAGTAGTCTCCTCTCAATAACAACACTGTCTCGATCGTTCTCTCCTCAAGATTATTTGTCTACACACCTGTAGAGCCAGACTGCCGCTTCTCGAGGGCGTATATAAAAACTCTGGCTTCTAGATTTTTCTGTCTACCACTCAACACTCATCCCTAGAGCATCGTTTAGATGTTTAGTAAATATGTGCTAAATTTAAAAGAGGCGTTCTGTTGCACTTTGGCTAGTTGACTAATGAAAAGGTGCCACTATGCAGAAGCATAAATCTGTGAATACAGAGCAAGGAGGCAGTTACCCAGGAAAAACAAGCAGCAAATAAGCAAGATGGCTCAAGCTAAATTCAAAAAAGTGAAGTAAGGGATGTGGGTACAAGTGTATATGCAAATAAATAATAATTTTTAAAGCTTAATACTGAAAAAGAAAATATCATTTGAAAGTACTTGTAATGAAATCAATTGTAAGAATTCTTTGTGGTATGAATGTCAAAACAAAACAAAAATTATTTCTACAATTAAGTTCTGCTTTCTATCAACATCCATAATCATTATTCATGAATCCAGACTGCACTGAGGCTTCGTTATTACGTTAAGGAGTATTTTAGAAGTTAGAAGACTTCTAATTATCACCTTTGACTCTTTAGAAAAGATAAGTACAAACAGATAAGTACAAAAGATAAGTACAAAACTTTTACCATAACAATTTAAAGAACTTTGAGTAATTCAGTATTATTTTAAGGTCACTCAATAACAAAGGCTGAAAACTTATCAAAGCAGCTATCACACCAATGCAACCAGCACCTTACCTGTCTTGAGCAGATCAAGGAAGCCATAACGCACATGTGTGGTGTCAAAAAGAGTTTCAGTCTCATAATTAAAATACCAAGGGCTGTATATGCCAGCAGTTGCAATGCATGATAAACCAGCTGAAAGAAAAAGATATTTTTTACTCCTACGACTTAAACAATATTTAAGAATATTGTTTAAATGGTAAATATACAAAAAGAGTACTTTTTCTTAGTAACAATACGTTGACTTCCAAAATAGTAAACAAGTCTTGAAATTCACTTTCAAATGTCTCCATTTTATTAGAGGACTAAAATTATGAAGTCACTGAGGCCAGTGGTCCTGTAATGCTGCTCGGGGCCGAGCCTGTGGTTAACAAAGCCCATGTTTCTGGATCCACCTGGATGCTCCATCAGATCAAGGTAGGTAAGTGTTAATCAGAAATGACTGCTGCTTAAGGTCCCCGGGCTCCACCTTGGAGCAGCCACCCACACCGGCTGCCGCACACAGCAGCGCTCTTAGCCTCCGTCAGCATGCTGTTGCCAACGAGCAGGTCTTAACAGTCTTTATCAGAAGAAAAGGAAGGGAAAAAAAGAATTTTTGTAATTAAGTAGGGTGATGGATGTTAACTAGACTTACTGTGATGATTTCACAATGTGCACCAATTCAAATTATTATGAAACTAATATAAATGTTATATAACAATTATATCTCAATAATAAAAAAAAAAGAGAGAGAGAGAAATGAAAAGTAAAAATAGAAAAGCCCGGCTGAACCATCAGGAGACGGGAGCAGCAACCAGTCAGCCTCCGAGCCTCAGGCAAGGTGAGCAGAGGAAAGCGATCGCCAGTCACGCAGAAGATGCTCCGTGCCCGCGTCTAACAGGCCCCGAAATAAACTGCCGCTCCAGTGAGGGGGTCAGAGCAGGCCAAACGAGCTTCCTGCTTGTTTTAACAGATGAACGGTCTGTGTGCAGTGTTCTCACAAAAATGCACACGGGCCTATTTTGAAGGTGATTAGTAACAATTACCAAGAAACTCAGAAACTGGAACTTGAAAGAAAATCCAAATATGTACAAACATTAAAATATGGTAAATTATAGTAATATTAAGTCATTACCTCTCCATGATCAAACTGATGTTTTCTGAAATGGAAAAAGAAATACCATTAAATCATTGCTGAAGCACTTACTTCAATTATTTGCATTTTTATCTTACGAGTTTTACAACTTCTATAATATTCCCTCAGGACACATATATATGTAAATCAAATTAACTAAAAGTTATAAACTAAAACTGGTGCTACAATATTTTAAGGGAGTTTACCGAAAAAAACCCTGACAATGTTGCATATTCTGCATATCTGACCACAGGCTATTTACCAGGCCACCAAAAGGCACCTGTGGTGTGTCAGACGCCTCGTGGGTGATACCTGGCAAAGCAGGGAGGGAAGGGGACCTCTGATGCCTCCACAGTCCCACAGCCCTGCTTCCTGTCCCCAGTGTCCCTTGGCTCCCCCATAAACTGTAGCTGCTACAGAGACAATTTAGGAAGCCAGGCAGGAGATTTTTTCGGCAGCAGCTCTGGAATATACAAATAGCTCCAAAATTGCATCTTTAGCTCTGCTTGACAGTTTCAGTCTGCTGAGACAGGGTACGTGCTTGAAGGCCCACAGGTCCTCCCCGCATCTCACTCTGCCCCCGCCCTGGATTCTCGCTGCGGTCGTGAGAGCGATCTGCACATGGATCCGCTCCACCACTCCCTTACTTAAAACCCTCCACCGGGTTCTTCTGTAATTCGGATGAACTCCCAAGTCTTTACCACGCTGCACGCGGCCTCCTAAGCCGGTCCCCACTCATCTTCGAAACTCATACTGCACCGTGTTCCCTCGTGATCACCATGCTCATCGCACCGGACTAATTTCACTCTTTCAAACATCACAGAGGCGCCTGACGCCCATATTCAGCGCTCTGCTTCATCACTCTGTGCCACTGCCGCTTTCATTCTCACAGAAAACAAAATTTTCATCGATTGGTTTATTTGATCATCACCTCTGTCTCTCCCTACTAAAACGAGCCCTTCAGGAGGATGGGGTACCAGTCCGTCCATCCACCCTACCTCACTGAGCACTGGTAACGGTGGAGATACAGCAGTCGACACGCTGGGGAAAATGCTTGGCACACAGAGCTCAATGGTTTTTTGAACAAATGAATAAATTATTCGATTAACTCCTAATCCAGATGACACATAATCGTATTTTGAGAATTTGGTTTCACAAAATATTGATATAACAAACTGTAAAAATATGGAGCAAATGACAAAATTAAAATGGATCCTTCTTTGTTCTTTTTTCATGCCAAGTACAAGTTCTTAGTCACCACTACTGACCACGTACATGTTCATATGCTCCGTACATCCCATAAACTCTGACCTTACAATTATCTATTACCCCAGTTTACAGCAGAGGAAAGCAAATCGTAGAGCTACAAAGTGAAAAAACCAAGTCTTTATTCTAACTGATTTCTGAGCTAAAATATTTTCTACTGCATCATGCTGCCTCCGTCCTCCTTTACCCCCAGGTCCCGGAATTAAGACAGAGCACTGGCACTCACATCCTGATAACTTACATTTATCTCCTACCCCTTCGTTTTTTACATTGGTATGTGACTTTGGTGCTTATGCACAGTGAAATATCAATGTGCCATCCTCCTTTCAAAAAAGCGCTGGTCCTACCTGAAGTGAAACCCCCATGGAGTTCAGTGGTTTTCTATAATTATTTCTACAGTTTAGTTATTCTTGAAAGGACAGCTCTGTCTCTGAAGAGTTCCACCTTTCTCTTCCAGAGCTGTATACTACACTGTAGCTTCATAGCTCCGCCCACGGCTATTCACAAACACTTCAACTCAAACGAAGAGAAATTCTGGCAGCATGCACCAGGAGCTTTTTCATTCTCCCGTGCCCCCGAAGGCTTCAGGTATAAATAAGGGCACAGTTACAGCAAACTGTTTCTAAATGAGAACAAGAGATGTCTCGGGGTACATGCAATAATTTATCACTGGCTGGTAGAAATTTGTAGGGGAGAGAATAATATATAAGCCTGTGTGTATTCAAGTTATAAAAGAAAATACAGACACACTTAAATCCAACAATCTCTACAGCCCCCAAATATCCCATAAAAGTATGAAAGTAGAACTAAAACTATCTTTATTCTATCCTTCAATCTCATGTTCTTGTTGCAGATTTTATCTTTCCAGAACTTTCTTATGCACAAATAAACATACATTTTCATGTTTTTAAACCAAAGTACAATCATCCTATATATAGTTTTGTAATTTTTTATTCAATGATGCATGATGGAAATATTTCCATAAAGATGGCCCAGCATTCCACTCTACGACTGAGTCATAAGTAAACCAATCCCTTACTAGAGCTATTTTGGTTGTTTCCATTTTCACGTTACACATTTACCGTCACCATGGGCATCTCTGAACCATCATCTCTGCATTCCTGTGAGCATGGTTAGAGGACACATCTGCACTGGCGGAACTGCTGGGCTAAAGAACAGGCCCGCTGTATGTTTTGCTATGTGTCGTCAAACTGCCCTCCCACCCACCTCCTCCCACCCCTGCAAGCAATGAGTGCTAGTAATGCACACACACCCAGTAAGTAAAAAGGTAAGTAAAAAGGTTTTCACTTTATCGTGGGACTAGGCACTTTTCTGTGTATCTATTAGTTATTTGTTAAGTCTTCATTCAATTACTATATTCTTTACTATGTGCCAGGCACAACAGATAAACTACTAAATTGAACAAAATTAACCCTTCGGGAGATACGGTATTTAAGTATAGCTGGTGATAAAGCATGTGACAGTGGAGAGTAACAAACAAGGAGACACGAAATCTACTCAGAAATGATGGTCAAGGAAGGCTCCTTGAAGGTGGTGGCATTTAAGTAAGGAGTTAGCCACGCAAAGAACCGGGCTGCGGGGAGGGGCACGGCCACCGCAAGGAGGAGGCCGGAACGGCTGGCCACGGTTCTAGCACGGACGGGGCCACCAGCACGCGAGCGCCTGGGACGATCACGAGAATTTACCTTCCTTTCCATCGACTGCTGGTGTCCCCCACTCATCTTCCTAATGAGTTTTTAGCATTTCTGCCATTAATTTATAGAAGTTTTTTTACATATGATGGCATTAGTCCTTTGTCATATATTATAAATATTTTCCCCAATCTGTCTTTTCTCTGAAGACTGCTCATAGTTTCCTACCAAAAAAAGCACTGACCTGGCTAACCCTGCCAACCTTCCCTCCTAGCTTGCAGGTTTTAGGTCCTCCTGAACGAGGCCTCTCTAAGCCTAAAATTATGAAAACGAGCTCTAGGTTAATTCGAGGGTTTCACTTTTTTGCTATAGTGTAAAAAGTGAGGGATGGATCCGGTTTTATAGAACCCCGCGCATCTCTCAAAAGGCAGCCCATTGGTCTGAAGAAAGCCATCGAGAGAATAACTTCTCTTCCCTGCTCTTCCCCAGCGCAAAGCTGTGCCGTGAGAGCACAGACGACATGGAGGGCTACTGTCACCCCGCACTGGGTGGGCTCCGAGGCACGCGTGAGTGACGCGCTGAGCCCTGCGCAGATGAGGAACGATGAGGAAAGCAAGAAGGGGGACGACAACAATTGACAAAACCAATTATCGAATGCTGAGGACACAACATGTAAGTACAAAGTTACCACACTGTGGATATCCGCTTAATAGATGGAGGAAGGAACAAAATGGTTACGAGCGTATTTACCTTACATGTGCCTGCTGTTTTGTTACGACACCCCACATGTCACCAATAATCTGCAAAGAGATTTTTAAACACTTTAGAACAGCTGTTTGGGAAAAGCAAAATTTTTAATTACTGCATCTTCTAAACTTTCAAACTTTTTCTTAGATTGAATTTTAAGAGATAACTCAGAAAATAATAATTACACTGTAACCTTAAATTTATACGGTACTTGATTGTATCGAATACCTACCACCCAACTCCGGCAGATTTTCTTATTCTCATTTTGTGAATGAGCAACAGGCTTAGATCAATGGAACGACCTGCCTGAAAGTGACCAACAGCTAAGAAGCGTCGCTGGGTCTCGAAATCTGACCTTTCATCTTCCAATTCAAATGCTTTGAGTCCCACCACGCCAAGGTCGTTGGTGGGACTCACAGGACTGGAGAGCTGCCTCGGAGACCGACAAGCACAGAGAACCGACCTCTGTGTTCCCACATTAGCAGTAACTGGGAGGTCATCTAACCTGAAATCCTATCCCCAGTCTGATGTCCTCTATGACACGGCTGACAGGTTTTAATTCAGCTCTCGGAAGAACCACCAGCCGCATCTATGGCACTTTCGTAATCAGCGCAGATCGATTCTGGTCAAAAGTCCTACCTCTTGGAAGTGGCCGTCATTCTGAGCAGCCAAAGTGAATATAATCTTCCTTCCAAGTGTCAGGCTTTTAAATATGTGAAAATTATTATCCTCTTTCCATTTGAATCTTTCTTCTTTAAATCAAACATTCCCACTTCTTTAATCCGATCTAATAATTTTTATTATCTCTTGCCATCCAGGCTGCTGTCTTCTTAATGCATTCTGAATTGCAAATATCCAGTATTTTTTATTACGTTCTAGGTGCACACCCACATAAAGCGTGCAGAAGTGCAAAGGAAGCACCGAGCGGAAACTGCCTGACCATAACCTGACTAGATCTGAAAAGGGCTGTGAGTCGACAAAGCTGAATACTGTGCAGTGGGGGGAGGGGTCATCTGCCTCTAGTCCCTCCAGCGCTTTTTAATGGACATGCTGTGAGGATGGTCACGACAACCTCTCTGATCTTCCTCTTCTGCATCTGTCAACATGGGGATAACGTCTATGTGCCTCACAGGCTTCTCAAATAACCAATTCAAATAACGCATATGAAGTGTTTTCGGCTAGTACAGATATATAACGTGAACGATGACTACAGTACGGAATGTTCTATAAATACATATATGTTAATACAGAAATCATCAGCTACGAATAAGAACACTTTTAGGGTCTATTATCTATTTTTCGATTACACAGTAATCTTAATTCATTCTCTTAAAGTGTCTGCAGTTACAGAGCTCACCAACTCTTAAAAAAAAAAGAGAGAGACTATGACACCCGCTCTTTGCTAAAGACTGCAATGTCCCTGGCCTGATTTATATCTGGACTTAGAGTTTCATTATCAAAGCCAAGTTGGGAGTCTAACCCTTTTATTGAGTTTAATAATGTACTGTTAATATTCTATTTTCTCCTTTTGATTAATTACAAACTCAATCTAGGATTTAGTGAACACTGCACAAATGACTTAGAAAGGCATATGTCAGAGAAATATTACATAAAAGTCAAAAGTGAGTTGGTAATAATTTACATAGGTAAAAACAACTGTATCTGGGTCTGTAAGGTCTCTCGGACCTTGTCTTTCAAATACATGACCATCGAAACTCGAGCCATCCTTTTCTTATGGTATTTTATGCTGGCAGATAACAAAATATTTTATGACATGTGAACGTTCATCAAAGGCTGTTAGTAAGAAAATACAGAAGATGCTTCAATCTATACAAAATATTGCGTCCGGTTACCACACAGCCCAGTATCCGTAACGGCCATGTAGAAAAGAAACAGGAAGACGGTTTGCTCCGGCAAAGCGTTAAGCGACACACACCTTTCTAACGATGGCAGCGAACACAAGGAGGACAACTGGCAGCAGCAGCGTCTTGGTATACCGCAGCGGGGTCTGAAATTCAGAGAGACGTTCCGTTAGAGGAAACTGTTATTTTAAACGGACAAAATTTCATTTCAAATAACGAACCGAGTGAATTTTTAAAAATATAGGTAGAGAAACAGGAACCCGCACCCACCCAGGGTCCAGACCACTGACTCCCATAGTACACATGAAGATGCATTTCCATGGAAACAAACTTCCCCAAAATGTTGAGTTGGGAACACTAACGAACACAGTCCCCACACACTCTGTAAGTGTAAAAAGTGCCTCCAGAGGCTGCTGCTCACTTATGCACACTACTTTCCTAACTAGAGGGCCCAACTTAATAGTCACCTAAGGTTAGCAGGACCCCTTTAAACTGCATAAGCTCTTCCTGTACGTTTTGTGGGGGATAAAAATCTTAACCAAGATCCCATCACACACACACACACACACACACACACACACACACACACACCCATATTTACAATAAAAATATTTTTATACTTTCTTTAGTAACAGATAAAAAGCTATAGAAAAAAATTAAATAACAAAGCTCCACACATTGCAGCCCTAAGCACCTCTCAGTCTTAAACAGTCCCGAATTTGAAATCTCTCATCTGCAATCAATTTGCTTTACCGCCAACACCTTCCCTTCCAAAATAATCCTGCATCACTGAGTCAAATAACGTAGACTTTCCCACATATGTTTATACAGGGAAATCCAGCTTAACCATATTAAAAATACTGGTACGTTTTAATTCTACAGAGTATACAGTAAGTAGCATTTTCTGATTCTCCCTCTCATTAGTCCAATATTTCTCATTTGTTATTCTGTATTAAATGAGTACTTTTGATAATTTATTACACAAAATGCACACTTTGTGAGTTAAAAGTCCTATTAAAGGAGAATTTTTATGTTTTAATCTTACTATTTACCTTTATAAACATTTGCATAGTATTTAAATTTTTTATTATATTTAAAATGTACTACATTAAATATTATTTATATATCATGTATGTGAATATTTATATTATAA